GTATATATTCAGTAGGACTACTAAAAATGTAAATAGTGCTACCTATAATGCAAGCAGAAACATAGGGGGCGCATTGGACATTTTAGAACAGTATTGCGTTTTAATACTTGAAAGGTAATGTTGTTAGATAAGTTTCTTAACAATTGAAAAAATCCTGAGCTTTCACAAAAACACTACGATTGCTCTAAGCAATTTTAAAAGAAAATTAATGGTTAGGATTTTGGTATTTGCTATCGCACATTTTTCATAGGTTCAAAGGTGCACAAAACCGTAAAATAAATATAGGTCTATAATGTTGCAAGTCATATACTTACCACAGAAAACAAAATTTACACAGTTCAGTAAAGACAGACACCACACCACCTTCTTCAATTGAATTTTTTCTAAGAAACTATTAATTTTCATTTCCTAACGAGTAGGTTTTCAGCTTTGTTAGTAAAATTCCCCTGGTAAAAATATGATAACATCGATTATACCTCCATGCTCTGTGGATGCTCAGTCCATCAGACGTCTGCTAGTAATCAATCAAGGTTTAAGCATAGACTTTCTAACTTTAATTATCATTTTATTAAGTAATATGCAATTTGCTTGAACAATAGTAAGCTTACCATTGATTTTTATGTTGGCTCCTTTCGTGTATGTCTTCGGAAAGCTGAAGATCGCCCTCACGTGGCGGAACAGATATCCATTATGGCCTCCTTTTTAAACGACAAACATTGTTGTAACATTTAGTTAGTGCACAGATAAAAAGAATTTGGTTTCGGTGTGAAAGGATTAGAAATTGGAGCCTGTCAGTGTCGTTCATACTTGTGTCCTCGGTATGACACTTTGCTCTAGATATCTCGTCCTTCGTTTTATTTTTTTATTTTCCATTGTCAATAAGTTGTATTTACATTTCAAAAGAAAAAATGCTATTTTTTATTGAAAATAAAAGGAGGCCTATATAGGCCGAAGACACTTAAGCTTAGGCCACCTAGAAAAAAACGATTTGAACATTTGATGTATAGCTTAACTGATTGCACTTGACAAATTATAAAAAGATAAATAAAACCTTTGGAAATGAAAAACAAGTAGGCCTATGATAGTTGGTTATGAGTACAAAAATACAACATGAGAGAAAGAAGAGTATGAAGTCGATATAGGGAGATTGCATGCTGTATCCCGAGACCAGAGAAGTTTTTAAATTTGTTTTAAAGCTAGAAATATATAATTTATTTTTTCAAGATATGGTAAGGGAATCCCACACCTCTGGGCCAGTGTATGAAATGGAATGACGTCTAAGATTTGAAACAAGTTAATAAGATTTTGTGAGGATCGAGTATTGTATTGATGGCAGTCTGACGATTTTAAAAATAAGGAAGGGATATGGGATAGTAACGTATTATTATACAAACGAAACATAAATAAGGCTGACTGAAATTTGTTCAGAGTATTGTATTTGTAAAACAAAGGTTTGGTGTGCGATCTAAAGTGAGTACCGTATTATCACAGATTCTCATGGCCCGTTTTTGGAGTTTAAAAAGGTTGTCAATGGGGGAAGAATTGGTAAACTTGTCGAATGACATAGAAAAAGCATTGTTACATGTAACAAATGTAAGGCAAGACTGAAGAATTGTACAGTTCTAACAGAATATTAGGGGGAAATGTAAATTTTTATAAGATTATAGATTATGCCGATATTTCGGGAATCAATACTGTTAATTCTATTTATATGAGACTTCCAAGTTAATTTATAACAATATTGATTGAAAAATACAAGAGAATCTGACTACAATTAATGAATAAAAAATAAAGTTATAAATGAAATGAATACAATGGTATAAAGATCGCTCCGGGCATAACCTCAACGACAACGTTCCTTAATAATTGTTTGAAAACATTCACCCGGCAAGATTTGAACCCTTGATCTCTTGCTATCATGGTGAGTGTCATAACACTAGACCACAAGGGCTTGCGGTATAGGCCTATTTCAGATACAATCCAATCAAGGACACGTCTTGATATAAGAACAGACACACAAAGTGGGATAATGTTAAGCTAGCGGGTGATGACGTAAGTTGCTCTGTAGCACTGTGGTGTATATTATAAACAATGAAATATGAATAACAGTTCGAATAAGGAACAATGATGTACCGGTAAAGATCGTATCAAACATTTTGGAATTCCCGTCTTGGTCAACATGCTTAAGATGCTTAAGATGGGAACTTTCTATTGATCTCTGTTACTTGCAGTGCATCGAGAATTAGAACTGTTCCACTCCGTATTCGTGTTCGAAATGCGTTACCGTATCACCTTTCATCTGGTAACAGATAAAAGGAAATCAATTTGAAATTATTTAATAACGTTTAACTATGAAAGTCATGCATAGACGATTAAATGGTATTTTTAAAGCTATTCTGTAAAAAGCAAAATAATATATGCAATGACAGTTATTTAATTTCAAGTTTATTATTATTTAGGTGGCAGTATATCTCGGAAAGGCCATTGAATATTAGCTAAATACACATTCACACCTCTTTCAATGCAAATGACGTAATACAGCAAATAGCTACCACATGCCTACCACTCATCTGTTTGTCTATACAGAATGTGGCTCATCATACTGGGCAGACAGTTTTTGCTATTTAGTTCCTCATTTCTTTTGTGCAAAACACGTAAATATAAGGACATCCCCAATGGAGTAGATTATTGACCGTAGGGGTTTGTATGCGCACAAACGACTTGTGTATATTATTTATGTATACAGTATTTACGTTTCTCTCACAAGGTAACTAACAATAAAGCGTCCTGATATCTACAGACGTTTACGATAAACGATGGAAGGTAGTGTCGCTATCTCTCGAAAGCAACTTGTAATTCAGTTTATATGGTAAGTGGATTTCCATTCATTTATTGTAGATGGTTTTTTAGTTAAACTTTAGTTAACTTAAGATACCTACTTAAAAGTACATATTCAAACTTGATATATACTTAAAAGTTAAATCAAAGTTAGCTCATACCGTGCAGTCTGATAATAATATACGCACACAGTATTCACATTTATAAGCAAATATTATATTAATTATTCGACAGTAAACGTAGGAGTTTTGCAAGTATAAGTAAAATTTTCACTGATAGGCTAATTGGTAACTAGGTGTGCTCACATGGAGGTGAGGGTCTACATGTGTAGAATAACATAAGAACATAAGCTATATTTACATTGTTAATACTCATAATTCAGTGTAGGTCTAGTAGAGTGCTAAACTACCCAACTGTGCATTATTGCCAAACATATAAACACAAATCTTGATAGGCTTCAGTGTGTATAATCAATACAGAAGGATTGCAAGGTTTCACTGGGAGAGGAATGTAAGCATACAAATAGTTATGTAATTTGTTTGGTGTTCTGTTTTTTCCCATTTTAGTAAATGTATTCGGCGCTGCCTGATATACTTTCAAGTGCAATCCAGAGGATTCGACTCCGTGCATTGATTACTGCCATGATCATGTCAAACTCCCTCACCAATGCATCCTCACTTGTTTCCACGTCTCAACGTGGAACCATACATTTTCACGCCAAGCTAGCGAACTCAATGCTTTCTTACACCCAGCATGCTAGGAACATACTATACCACGATAAATATTTGAGTAAGACTTTCTCACAATCATTGGGACCAGATGTGTCGTTACTACCTAATTCAAATGGATTACCGTTGCCATTAAATAAAAGAGATACTAAACATACACCAAAATCTTATTTTGAATGTATGAGAATTGACAGATCAGCTCCTGCATCACAGAATAAATATAAAGTTGAATTGATTGAAACAAAATCTAAGAATATTAGCTCAAAGACAAATCGTCGAAAAGAACTTCCACACATACAGAAGGCGCTACAGGACGATAAATGTAAAAAGTTATCTAAAAATCCAAATAAGCTTAGCACAGACATTGACAAAGGCTATGATGTAGAAAACATAAGTTCGCACAAAAAGTCTACTTTAACAATCAACATATCCTTGCCACAAGCCGGTACAGAAACGCCCTCACCGCCGCCAACAGAACCAGATGGGATACACATACCTAACGAAAACGCTAATCAACCAAAAGGCCTATTGCAAGATCAAGGTGAAATAAAAGGGAACAAACTTGAGACCCAGCACCACCCTGACGCAAAGCATCACCGGCAGTATTCTACCGACGTTGTTGATAATTTTCCGGAGGCTGTGCTACGTGTTAGTGATTGTATAGAATGCTACTCGTGGCTGAAAGTACGTACACATGCTAAAAGTTGCGATGGATTGCTTGAAGGAGAATCAGTAGAAAACAAGGACGCTGAGAAATTAAGAACAATTAAGTGCGAGAAAAACAAAACCAAAAAGGTAACAGAATCATCAAACGATCATTTGCCAATCATCGCAAATCTTTCAGAACCAGCAAAAGAAAATAACACCACCAACAGTGAACATCAATCAAAGCTGACTCATATAACTCAGTTGAGCAAATTAACCAAAGTGCCTTTAATAGACATGAACACAGGTCCCATGTTATCAAATAGGAAAACTAGGCCTGATGGCACTGTGCTGAATCAAACTGAAGAAAACATACCTCTACGAACAACTGAAACATCAGTCTGCGTTCGACAAAATGAACGACGGTATCAGACTTCACAATTTCAATGGAATTTGGAAATCAATAATGAAAGTAGAAAATGGGAAGAGTCAAACAACAATCATTCACCATTATCAACAAAAATCATGAACTACAGTATGAACACTGAAGACGTCTTAAACAATTTAATGAAAAGGAGAACAGGTAGAGAGAATTTGCATACGGTAAAAGTTCACAACATTTTAAACATCAATGGTGGGCGGCGAGGTGAAGCCAAGAAGACGACGACAAAGATACAACTGCCGATCAAAAGCAGTCTAAAGCAATCTACATCTAAAAAATCAGAAAGAAAAACTGTCCGATTTACAAAAAACAATGTATACAGAAAAATGATAGGCTATACACCAAGTGTGCAGGTCCACACATGATTGATATCATTACATATGTAACTCCATAGGTCAGAAGTTTTGGGATTAAACAAAGGAGGTATATTCTATATTTGAGTGGCGATGCGGCTAGCATTATTTTTCCCCCGTACAGTTGCGGCCGAAATTATAGAGGGTGCTATTTTAGGACAGTTTGGGGACCTGATATGCATGAATATGCATGCGGACTTCCCCTCGCGAAACAGAGTGTATATCGCGTTTTATGCGTGGATATGATGAACGCTATGGAGGCAGTAGGCCAAAATCTCTTAAATATAGGCCTTGGTAGTCAAGACAGTGTAAAAATTGTAGTACTAGATTAGACACATTCTATTTCTACAGCATGGTCTTCGAAAGTATAAAAAAACGGAGTAGGCTAATATTGAATCTGGCACCGTATTTGAGTAGGCTTAGGCCTACAGTTAGGCTTATACAGTATGACGTACTGTATTGTAGCAATTGTATACTCCCTATTATTACTTAGTAGTACTGATTCTGAAGGACGTTTACAAATGCTCGGAAATCACAAGTACTTCGGACACAGTTAACTTAAAATTTTAAAATTAAAAGTTGTTTTTTTTTTATGAGAAAAAAATAACTGCCTATTAACAGACAGTGAGCGTTTCTGTATTATTTTTCATGATTCAATAGTTGGTATCATTTAAGGATTTTTGTAAATCAATAAAAGCTATTTTTACTTCTATCTGGTTTTGATCGTTATATATATAAAGCTATTCAATATTTAATTGGGTAGACACAGCCTAAACAGTACGTCATATCATGTGTATATAATATCGTAAAATTAGTGTTTATAATATACCTGCTTGCTATATAATCTTTTCCTTTACTCTGCCGGAGCTGTATGTTGAAAAAATAATGCCTGCGGCACCCCTGGCTTTAGCCAGTGCGAGCTATAGAAAGAGACGTATTATATTGATAATTATACGGTATTATATTTTACCGTTCTCGATAGAAGAGAATGATGATAATTGTGTAATAATATTAATAATATTAATAATTATTTTTATCCTTTTTTTTAATTTATATTGGCCTAGGCCTATATTTTTTTAATTATTTTTTAATTTTTTAATTTATTTTTAAATGGTTTTAAATAGTGCGTATATGCACCAACTACTGCAATTTGAGTACAATATTATCTCATACAAGGTTCCATCTATTAATATTGTTTTTCTTAAGGAGTAAACTCCGCAGGCAAATCATTGTTGCCCATTCGATACATTATTCGTATTTCCAGTATAATTTTTTTTTAAAGTTATTTTTTTTTACACATTTTTTTTTAATCCATTCATTTTGTATATACATTTACATTCATCAACACAATACAAGTATTCTAAGTATTGCTGTTACCTATGGAAGAAGAGTACATGTTTCTGAACATTTATTGCGTAAATAGATATATAAATATGCTAAATGTATAAAGATGATTTTTTACGTACGGTATAGCTACTTGTCTTAATTAATAATGACATCATTTTTATGGTAATATGGTACGTCGGACATTGTTATTGATTGATTAATTAACAGTTTTCTAAATAGTGTCATTCTCACATACAATTCAGAATCGAGCAGTGCTTTTAATGATTTTATTTTACCCACTGCTGCTTTGATAACGGCAGCTTTGTATAGGCAAAAACAAGCAACTGTGTAAATATGGTTAACATAATTGTTATCAGTACCTAACACAATATCATTAAAAGTTGCAGTATATCCAAACTCTGGTTTAATCATTCTGTCAATTTCATTCCAGACATATTTTGCATTTACACAACCCCAAAAGAGATGATAATCATCTTCTTTAATATTCGGATTACAAAATAAGCAGCAGTCATTGTCGGAGAGTTTCCTTTTAAAAAAGACGTGAACGTGTGGTTATTGTACAATGCATTAATTTGTAATTAAAATTTGCAAGCTTTTTCTCAACAATGTTTTTTACTTTTCTTAACCAGACCATTTCCCAATGAATATCTGGAATATTTAGGAGGCGTTCCCATTTAGATTGGATTTTACAAGGTTTTTCCGAGAAACATTTTACAATGCACTTATAAATATTTTTTGTATTCATTAAATATGAACATTCAATATTATTTTTGCCACTGGTTTCAGTCTGGTTGAAATTCTCAATTAATAACTTCCAGGCATGTGGTATAGCTGATAGCACTCTTTTCCAGTCAGATATCCAATTATGCCTTGATTGTAATTTTTCAACGATTTCATCAGCTTTTAAAAATCTATTACCTTTAACAATATCACATATTTTGACAAAACCTGATTTAACCCAGGATTTGAAGAATAAAGACTTTTTATTTAATACCACATTTTTATTCATCCATATTACTTGATCACATATATCTTCATAAGTGTCACAATTTTGTGAACTAAATTGATTTAACATGCATAGTGACCTTAAGATATTTCGGTAAAATGTTGGCACTTTTGTATTAATTGTATTATATAAGTCATTTATATTAGTTAATTTTGTGAAAATGTCTTTAGAACCCAATTGTTCTAGATAGTAAAGCGGTATTTGCTTCCATCTTTCTTGTGTGTTTTTATTCAATAATGTTTTAAACCAAGTAATATGTAATGACATAATCATTGCTTCTAGGCATGGCATTTTCATTCCTCCGTTCTTAATCTCCTCATATAATATACTCCTTTTTATCTTTTCACTACCTTCCCAGATTATATTTGGGCGATTTATGAATTACAATGTCAAAAATATGTTTCATACACTTTCACTAGCGTCAAAAACAATTCCTATCTCGTCTTAAGGCATATATCTTTACATGAACTTGTGTATGCGAGGATAGGTGGCCTAAGATTTTTTCAACATTGTATAAATAATTTAACTAGTATTTTCATTTGATAATAAAAAGATGTAAATGTCTATGAATTATGATATTATATTATTATTATTATTATTATGTTAGGTTATGTGTAAGGTTGGATGTGATTGTATACAGGTAATTTCAAGTTAAGCTTGTTGTTATTTCCATAAATAAATTTAAATAATAATTCTATGTTTGTTTATAATAATTCTATGTTTATTATAGTATATATATTTTTATTCACGGAGTTCCAAACGTCTGAAACATAGAAGAATGCCATACTTTTACCGCATAAAGAGAGTGAAAGTACTAATGACAAATTAGTTATATGAAGCACAAAATATGACAAAAACAATTTAAAAATTCCACATTATCACATGAAAAATAATATTTATTTAGCAAAAGTAATGCTTAGATCAGCAATTGACAAATGTTTATAAAAAATGTGTTAAAAGTATAGCACTGGTATTATATAAACGACAGTTTATCCAAATCCTAATTAAATGAGAAATAAGGATGTTGTCTTTTCGATCGTTTTCGTTTTATTACGATCACCTAGTATTCATGATTTTAGCATTCAAGTTACAACGTTCAAGTTATTTAAGTTAACAATCAAGTTATCGATCTAATTGTCATGGAACTACTATTCCATATCTTTATTAAAACTGGTGTTGGTATAGTTGTAGTAATGTAAAGCGAACTCATGAAAAATATTTTGTAAGTTCATTGAAACATGGTAACAGGCTTACACTAGTAGGTCTGCGACTTTTTCAAAATTCATTTCAAAGATGTGAGGAATAATAAATAGGCCTATATTAGAAGAAGTTTGAACTTGTAAACTATCTGAACCATAGACCTTAAAAGATGGCTAGCGAATGTCCCCGACAGCTATTGTGGAAGGAGTTTGTATGTATATAGGAACCAGGCTTCTTAGGTACACAGGTCAATAGGCAAGCATTGCGCTTAAATGTTAATGTCGTATTCAATGGTAATATTTATCCGCACATTTTAATTGCATCAGATTCCTAAAAATGTATTTTTTTAAAATCATGAATCAAGTCTGGTGTACTTAATTGCAATCCCATTTACTTTCGATATTTTAAATCTGTAATTATCAACTAATGTTATAGAGTCTCTGTCGGTTTGTTCCGCTGATTTACCATTATTTATTGCTGATTTACCATTATTTATTACTGGAAGTTTTAACATTGCACTAGTTGAGAGTTGTTCTTCTGCATCGGGACTAATTTTCTGTGAGCCACTCCTCGTCAATATATCCATGTGTTTGGAAGGAATATCTTGCTCATCATGGTTTATATTGCTTTCTGACTCGTTTATTATTAATTCACTTGTTGCCAAGTCTTCATAACGCAGCACAAGGAGATCTCGATCTCTTCTTTCTTGCCCTATCACAAGCTCAGATTCATCTTCTTGAGACGGTTTCTCACTAGTTGGCGAGCAAATTTGAGAGCGTCCTTGTACATTACTTGAGATTTCCGAGTCCGATTCCTCACTGTCTATGTGAGTGTAAGGCAAAACAAATCGAACGCGTTTTCTTTTCTTCTTATGTTTTTTAATTTGCGCTTTTTTCCGCTTTTCTAACATTACACGAAGTTCTTTTTTTCTAACTTTATTTATATCTGAAGCAGAGCCAGTGAGTGCAATGTCTTCATTTTCTCGTATGTTGAGCCGCTCAAGGTTAATATTTAGAGGGTAATTCGGCACAAATATTTCCCCATCATTCGTTCGTTTATAAATTGGTTTCAATTTGCCGCCTGGAATTCTCTTTGGTATATGTGACTTAAGTTCTTCTTCCATTATTTCACTGTACAAAAATTGCTTTCGTACCGGGTGTCTCCGAGCTAAGTCCCGTTGTCGATTTCGTTCCGATTGGCTCCATCGCTTCACTGTTTTCATTCGGGCACGATCTTGTCGCTGTTTTGTGTCGTTTTCTTGTTTATTTTTCATTTTATTATGTATTTCTTTCCTTTTTCTTCTTCTCGGGGGTGTCGGAGGAACCTCTTCGAGAACGTAGCTGGAATTGAGAAAAGATTCTACACCAATATCCGGGTACGGATCAATTGATATGTGCACCGTATCATCACTTTCCTCTTCATTCTCTGATTGGTTAAAAGTGTCACAGTTCTCACTGACATTAGGGACAAGGGCATTTGATGACGTCGTTGATTTCGATTGACCGCTTACAAGTTCATGATATGATACTAACTGTGGTAAACTAAAACTGGTTGATAAAGATCGCTGCTTCCTCGTGGTTTCTAACTTGCTTCTCGTTGAGCATTCCTCAGATTTTATTTTTCTCTGCGGAACAGTTGTTCTGCTTGTGTGCTGAAAGTTGGTTTCTGTTACCAGTTTTGGTAGAAACACGTGACCATAATCATCAGTTTTATGCAGGCGACTTTTATCTAGGTAAAATGAATTGTTGTTCATAATTGTATCTTCCCACAAATCCGGGTTTTCCCACGTTATAGCACAGGTTTCTTTGTTCATATCTCTTATCTCAAGCATCCTTTCATTTCGAGTTCAATTGCGTTACGAAGTAAACGCGTAGCATACGCAATATTTTATACCGGTCTGAAATTACGTCATGGAATATTCAATAATAACAAAACATAAAAAAAACGGTACTATGAATCTCAAGATTTCCTTGATTTAAATTTTGATCAATAGGGCCTATTCAATGCAGTTCTACTTTAGGTCTGCCAACAAACTAATTGTTAAGTGTGTGTATCAGGTAACATTCACAGATAATGTACGCGGGAAACATTATACCGTCTGCATAGTGCACAGTTCCTCTGAGAGTTTGATTGTTGTAGAATCAATCCTGGAATTAACAAAAGAATATAAAGTGAATGCATAGTTGAACCGCTTTACGAGACCACAATTACATTATTATGAATAAGATCGTGATATCACGCGGGGGTTGTTGTAACTTTGTTGTCTATATGTTTTTTAATTAGAAAGTAATAAAAACTCACACTTTGACCCAAGAGAATAGGCTCTATGTAAGTAAATAATTCACTAGTAGGCTTATAGAAATAATAGCGCCATTACTTAGCAACTCCTAATTCATATACCACACAATGTGGTTTGGTTCACATTGAGCTAAACTCCTAAATGCATTTTTTTTTCCGTCAACGAACCTTTGCTGAGTATGATCAAGCTTTATGTCACAAAAGATTGTATCAGTTTTTTGATAAAGTGTTGACTTCTTCTAAAAATACTAAAGAACAAAATGCATACCGTACCTTCTACAACTTGACCTATAACTGTAACGATCCGATCGTTCAATAACAACTGATTCTGTTGAAAAAAATGAAATAACTAAGTTCATTGTGGCATCATCAGCATTCGAGGATGGAACTCTAATCAAAGAACGTGAGCAATTATTCATTGAATACATCGGTTGATAGTTCAACAAGTCTGCTATTCTGTTAATAACTTGTATGCAGTTTCACACGTTCGTCAGATAACACTGATTTATAACAACAAGCATGCGCACTATCAAGGTCAGAATAAGACTTACTTTGATAGCGTATATAATGATAATAATTGATATAATAATATAATAACCTAGAGATCTGGACCGTGGAGATCTCTAGGTTCCTGGTTCAAATCTAATCGCTGCTCTCATTGTGATTAAGCTGGAGGGCTGAAATTCAAGTTAGAAACCGCACCGTCTTTCGGATGAGACATCTAAGCCGTTGGTCCCATCTGCATTACCGTATGACCCGTGTGCACGTTAAGGAACGCAGTACACTATTCGGAAAAGAGTAGGGAATCGTCTCCCGATGTACTGCCCAATCACCACCGGAAGGACCTCATTGGAAATAAGTCTTCTTCAGATTTTTGTGGGTTATCCTTCGTGCTTACACCGAATAAATCCATCCACCCATCCATTCTTTGTATATTATAACAGTATACACCCAAGTTATTAACTCTGAATTAAAATTTGGAAGAAATTGTTACTGTCCTGTTGTAGCAATGTAATATTGTTCGTAGTAGGTCTACCGGCAATGCCGTAGCCAGCTATTAGGACAGTTGGGACAGTCCCACACAATTATTCTAATGAGTCCACAAAAATGTGTCCACATTTCGAAAAATGGGTCCAAATTATGCAGTTTTATGCAATAAATGAGTCCACTTTTTGAATAATGGGTCCAAATTTCTCATATTTTGCCTAAAATTGGGTAAACATTTTAAAAAAATGGGTCCAGATTTTTCATATTTTTACGTAAAATGGGTCCAACTTTAGAGAAAATGGGTCCACATTATTTGGATTTGTGTGTAAAGTGGGTCCACCCTTATATTGTCCCGCACTGAAAATCCTGGCTACGGCATTGCCTACAGGTAATATCTGTGAATCATTGAAAGCTGAAAAATATTGAATCTTTTAATTGAGAAAGTAAATGATTTACAATATGTGAAATATCAGTTACAACATATTAAAAAAGGTCCTCCGGAGCCTGGGGTTTAAAGTGTTTCCAGATATGTGCAGGTATGTTTTATCTATATAAAATAGTAAAAGTATTCACTTTATAATAAAAATATTTAAAAAAACAAATAAAAATTATAAATATTGCCTATGTCCTACTTGATTAGCGTGACCTCCTCTCCAGATTTCTCTGCCAGCCTCTGTTTATTTATTTTTGTAGTCATCGGCCGAGAAATGATTAATAAAATCGTATTTAAAGTTCTTAGACAATTTAAAACAGCGAATTAACTAAACAGTATGTGGCCTCAAAATGCTATGCTCGTTTCGATGTTATCAACAATATTGACCAGCTCCGTGATTCAACTTTGAACATCAATGACTGGTACAACAAATAACCACGTTGTGTACACACACACCTAACTACACTGTATGGACCATACGCCTATGTGATTATTATTTACCGTATGTAATATTTAAGATGATCCTAGCAACAATCGTCTCTTATTGTACGCAGTCTGTTGACCAAGCCAACAAAATATTGGAAACTTGACTTTCGTTGCTGCAATCATTTTTACGAGTAACAATTTGATACAAGAAGAGAACATAGGTAGAACATTCTTAATCGCTTCATTCACAATTTAAAGAAATATAGTTAAGGCTGACCTTTAGATACTATTCCTTAAATTAAAAGTTCCAAGAAAAATATAGTCTGTATCCACCAAGCTACAACCATTAGTTCCGATAACTGGGCTGCATATAAGATACTGTACGTAGTAGGTTTAATTATAATGGCTGAATCTACATCACAAGTTATTTGCTTTCATCCGGGCAACGATTGAGAAGAGTACGGTACTTTTATTATCAACGAACATACTTGAGGGTATGAGGAAAGTATGTTTAGTCGGAGAAGGAAGGTTTTCAAAGTAATGCACTGATGGATGTTCAAACTGACAAAATATAGAAAATTAAGTAAAGGTGAAACGAATAAACAATAAGTTAAATAAATAATATTGATTTCTTGCATCAATTTCTTCGAAGGTTGGCTCATACCATTATCGATGGACTTCATGAGTAATACGGTAATGTAAATAAAAATAAATAGGATTTAAAACCGGGATAGCGCAAAAAAATCACAAAACAAAACATCAATCGAAAGGTCCACTGATTAATCTTAGATAAGATAGTATAATACATAGGCCTACTCGAAGTATCGAATGTAAACGATGGCGTGCATTTCTTCCGATAATCCAAGTATCGAAAGTAAACGATGGCGTGCATTTCAAAACATCAATCAACGCTGTCAATATCGCTTCCAAAATTGTATTTTTAAAAGCGTGCAAACCCTACCTAGATCCATTGGCCTATAGGCCTATCTCTTCACAGGCCAGACCTATCTCTTTATAGGCCTATATTTTATTCGTACAAAACATCTTTCACATATTTTAATGAAAAAGCGATGCGTCATCTGGCTGGGTTTGGAAAACTGAGAAAAGGTGAACACCTCCCCTGCGGTTTGACTCAAGTGGTCCACACCTAACTGTACTCACTAGGAATATGTTCCCTTTGGTCTAAACTTTCTAGATCACTTCAAGATACTAATTCTCTTTCGGAGAAAATAAAAACAAAATTACAAAAAAATATTTAAAAAATACCCCAACAAAATTGTCACCCGTTTGACCTCTTTTAGTGAGGCTCTATACAAATCACGTAAACACAATTACAAAAGAAGTGAAAGTATGAAGCAATCCGTTCTTAATATAATTATATGGATAAGTGTGAGATCGTCGCTGGGGTTAAGGCAAACATCTCCTAGGGTATGGAATGTGTACGAAAGACATTCCGGGATCCTCCTAAGAGGTGGCTTTCGTAGTAACTTGCATATTTCTTCAGCCAAATATTGGCATAATTGTGTATCACCTTTCAAATTTGGTATCATTCAGTACGATGGCGGGACGTGTCAATCTCGTAGCTTAACAGATTGAACTATTAAACCAATCAGCGATGGTACACACCGTTCTACCCCCCCCCCCCTAAGCAGACGTTTCCTACCTAATGTGACGATACCTCTACAGGCCTACTTGACGTGCTGTTTAAGTAAGTCCTAATACAACTTCTCAACAAAATTGTAGGCACAGTTATTTGTCATTTTCCCAGAAAAATGACAAGCTCAAAATAAGCCCCGCCTAATTTTCTATTAAAAAATAAATACTGTATAAGAACGTAACAGCCCACCCCCTCCCAACCACTTTCTACACTCAACTAGTTGTCCTGTTTTATTTATTATAAATGAGAACAAAAGAATATATCTGCAGTGAATGTGATTTGATTGACAGAAGCGTGTCAGAAGTTTTAAGTAGACTGGAAGTCAATTTAAAATGTTCAGCTAATGTTAAGGGAGGCATAATTAATAACATCATCGTCGTCAGTATAGTAAATGTAAGTACTCTCCTTGGTATTAAATTCTTGCAAAAGCCATTAGAAGATGAGTGGACACTGTGGATTCAATTCACCTGTTGCTATGGACAACGATATCGTAACCAATGTGCATATTGTTCGGTATTCAGTATTAGTTTGTTTTAATTCAAACTCATTATTAATATTAAAGTGGCAGTCACATTATTTCGAGGACATAGAGTCGGGTGTTTAATACAATGCTAAGTACTGCAAGTATATAGGGCTTTACTGAAATACATCTCATAATATTTAACGGATGTGGATATAGGCCCAGGTGAACTCAATTCATATTCCAGAGACCTATTAATAAGATATTCCTTTGAACTTATTCCACATGCTCAGAGTGTTTGCATTTTCAAGGAAAACGATGAATGGGTGAATATTTTATCACAGTTAATTAATAATGTTCTAAATTCGTGTGAATTGCACTTTAGTACTTTAAGGTTGTTTTAGTGTATAGGCTATGTAGTAATTTTCAGTGGTAAAGTTGAGTCGAACATCGTCTAAATATATAATTAACTAATACTATAACTAATGATTAACGGTAAACGTTCAACAAGTTAATTGTAATACATCCGTTTACGAATGTCGTTTTGAAAACTATCTCGTTTACAATAGCAATAATGGCAAAGCAATAACTTTTATTGACATCATCAAAACAATCATGATACAGTCAAATACAGACAAAATACAGTAACAGAAAATGTATAAGCGTATGTCGAACGTGCGACATAGCTTCCTCAAATCGACACACTTATATAGCAAGTAGCTTAAATTATTTTTGCCATAGACAAATAGACAAAGATTTGCTATAGTAGGCCTCGGTTATTATTATAATGCCACATAACACTGTTGTTACTGGTGCACGCCAGTTTCGAAGTACCGGACGTAGGCTTTACCAAAGTGAACATTTATGTAATAAAAAAAAATAATATGTGTAAATTATTGAATACGTACCGGCTCACGAGATTGAAACGTTTGATCATGAAATTTACGATTTGAAAGTTCTCCAACATTACTATTATTGCTAAGGGTCGGGCCTAAACATAACAGTGACAATGTTTGCAACAAAAATCATACTCACTTTGATTGAAATATTGATTGAGAGTAATCACGGAAAATCCAAACGTAAACATACTAAGCTGGCATTACAATAGAACTAACTACAAAGCATCATTGACTATCAGTGTTATCCATAATACACAATGTGGACCTACGCTACGATTTTACGTCAGCTCCAATCGATGTGCTGGAAACCAGGGGTATCTGCTCACAGCAGGCGCCGTTGTACAACTATTGACGAATGGACTAGTGCCTTGGATATCTTAATTCAATTGAGAATTCTCATTGCCTAGCAGCAGGTAAAGCTGATAGCTGCCTAATTTACAGGCCAGTGGAAGTCAATAACAATACTTACCTAATAAGTATCATAACGTAGTATTTGTTTATGTGTATTTGTTTTCTACACAACTTTGGTGTGATGAGTTACAATCTGTGGTATTGGTCATTGGTCAGTAGACTTTGGGCATAGTTAGAGTATATATATATATATATATATATATATATATATATATAATATACACACACACATATATATACATATATAATACATATATGCATACATATATACATACACACATATACATATATATATATATTTGGGTATATTTTATTGAGATAAAAAACATCGAAAACACAATCTTTGGCAGCATTAAGCTGAATTGTAGATTGGGTAATTACAATAAAATCTATAAAATTTATGATAAGACTAATAGATGTACAGTATATAAAAATATGACACAGTCAAAAAACACTAAAAATACAAAGAATAAAAAGCAATTTTACATCACACTTTACTCCTGAGCTATATATAATATCCAGATTATTCAGACTGGGGGGTTCATCCGCCACAGGACCTCACAATGAATTGAGAATTCGTGCCATGTAAGGTATCGAGCTATTTTTGTATCGGGATTTAGTACATTTGTATTCACTATATTTATATATTCACTATATTCATACATATATACATACATATATATACATACATACACACACATATACATATAATGTATCAATTATATAGATAATAGGAACATAATGTTATAAAGCCTATAATAATAATTATGCTAAAAAATAAAAATAATAATTTAAAATTTATATAGCGCAAATTATAAAACATTGTTAAAATCAAATGCGCTTTAGACTGAAAGTTATGTTTCCTTAAAAAATAATGTTTGGTGTTTTATATTATATATATATATA